TAGCACCTCATTGTTAATTCCCAATGAGGCACAAAGTCATTTTCCAGAACCTTCACTTTCTCTGCTCCTCTATGGTGAAACAGGCTTCCAACTGTTGAAACCATCACAACTTTCAAGAAGCAACTGAAAACACCTTTTCTGACAGAATTTAACCACTAAACTAATACTACGAATATTGTTGGCTATGTGACGAATTCAACCCAGGCTCATTGGAAATACGTACCTGTGGCGACATTTCTGCAACACCGTTATTACGTACCTTACTGCATGTTTCGCGGCAGTTTCAGGTCCAGTGAGTGGTGCTAAAATGCATGCTCAATACGTGACCGTGCCATGGCATGTTTCATTACGCTGGTACAGGCACATATTGCTGGGTTTTTATTACCTACCCGACAGTGTTAATGAATGCAAAAGTAATATAAAACATGCAACCTTCAGTGGGTTTGAGCTGTTTTGTCGAACTGTAGTTTCACGAGATTCGCACTGGAGCACCACACAAGTGCAACGCCATATCGGGTGAGCTACCGAGCAAACCTGCTGCATTAGAAAACCCAGACATATTAAGATGTATATGTGATGCACATGTTTTGAGTTTTGCAAAAATGTAAGTAGAAGCACTTATTTTCAACGAGCCTGGCTAGGACAAATTGCTTCAGATCATCTAATTTATGTTGCTTGCATGATTGCATAAATGTAAATTTAATGTGTTAATAATTGCGTCATTATATTAATATAAACCATATAATTTTTATTGTAGTAATATCGATTTTTATAATGAAAATATCATATCACTTTTAATAATAGTAATAATAATAATGACACTAATAATAATAATAATACTAATAATAATAATAATAAGAAGAAGAAAATAAGAAAAAATTAAGAAAATTAAAATAAATAAGGCAATTTCAAATATCCGCCGAACAAATCAACAGCAGCAATCAGCACTGCTCCAGCTGACATACATCTGCTATTTGGTGGGAGGGGACAGAAATAACATCCAAATGATGCAAGATTAGCAGAGAACTATGATCAAAGGATCAAATAATGGCAACTGTGGTCTGAACACCATGATTAACATCCTTGCACTTCAGGAAGAGTTAGAGATGAAAGAATGGAGAGAGATTGTTACTGACTACGAGAGCAGTGAGAATGAACAATAAAGCCAAACAGAGAGGAATGCAATGACATCAGACTGTTGTATATGTAGAGAAACTCTCACGGTGCATTTGTTTGGAAGGACAAGGGATGTTTAGACAAAAAATGTGGGTGCCAAGGAGAGCGATTCGTTGCGTCATTGTGCATTATCAACACACTGTCATTGACCCCAGGGGCGTAGCAAGCTTTTCAAAAGTGCGGGGGATGGATGTGGTTTGTTTATTAACAATAAAAACGATGAATACAGTGACAGAGGGGTACAAAATGTATAACATACAAGATATAAAAAGCTTCCCATTTAAATGAGTGATACTAGATAAGTATAAAAACACACTCGGAACACACGGAAAATAAGTCAAAACTCTGTTGTGAAAATACACAACAGTAGACTTGCTAAAGAATCAGAAATACTTTAATAATCCCAGGGGGAAATTATTTTTGTTACAAACTCCAGATAATGTTGTTTATTATTTAAAATGTATTGATATTTTAATATTATATTAAAATAAAAAAATGAAAAATATATTTTAGCCAGATAACAGAGATAACAGTTTGGCTTTAGTTGCTCGTGTTGTTTAGTTCTCTGACGGAGATTAAAGGGAAAGTTAGCTGAGTCTCACAATCTCACACAGACACACAAACACACTAAAAGGGCAGTAATTACAAACATTTCCAAAGGATACCAGACATCCACTAGGTGTGGCACACAGTGACATACCAATAACTGGACACAGAGAGACCAGTCTGCCGATAATGAAGTCCAATCAGTTCATATTTGGAAATCACATTGTGATTCACATCTAATAACGGCAGGCATCACTGGTGATTCTCCACTTGCCAGCCAATCTATTTTTGGCTGAGAGGAATAGCAGTTTTGGGATGCACAGCAGCAGCACTGCTGTCTGTCACATGGCAACAGAGCAAAGCAGTGCTAGTTCAGGGTCATAGTTCCTGAGAATGTTAGATTTTTTTTGTCAAATATGACCTTCAGAATAATTTTACCCGGCATTCTCTCTTTTTCTCTCTCGCTCTTTGTGTGTTAGTGTAGGTGTGTGAGACAGGAAAAGAAAAGTACAGTGTGACAGACAGACCGACCCACCGAAATTAAACATTTCACAGCACCTCTTCATGCACAACGCAAGTCGACCCAAGCGCTGACAAATGCCTGATTGTCCTTCACACCTTAATTTGATTTCAAACCGACACAATCTGATCACACCCCCATGCATACTCTTAAAATACCTCAATTAAACTAAAAATGCATATGCATTTCACAGCCACAGGCTCGGGAAGACTTTCCCTCGAGTCTCGAACACTATTGGGTGCTGTCCGTGGTGCTGAAACCCGCTCGATACCATCAAACTCTTCCCTTTTTCATTACACTACGATAATTCGCTCGGAAACCGAAGCGAAAACACTTCACAAACTAATCATCTGAACGAAAATCGCATTTTAAAAAAGCATAAAGGCGCAATACCGCCACATGATTTTCCTTGCACGCACCAGATCGATGCTATCCATCGAACAGCCTCTCATTTTCCTCGCATGTCTCCATGAAAGACAGATCAAGCGCATCTCTCATCCATTACCCGCTGAAAAGGTCACGGACACACTGAACCAAAGTCTTGCGTGTGACACTATGCCCCATTTAGACCGCGCACCCTCATGCAGCGCCCTTTATAAGGTGGGTTTTGGAAAGCCTACCTTGTTTTTCGATCTCGGGCTTAACTTTGCTCTTCAGACGGGTCCGACGGATCCTATAGCCGACGGAACTCTCAGACGAGTTGACAGCCGAAGATCATCGTCCACTGCGCGATCACAATAGCGCTACGAGAGTGTTTTCCAGAGCTCTGATGCATCGCCGTCGTTCTCCGGAACGGCTCATTTATTACGCACGATGTCCTTGACAAGTATCCACATCACACCGAAGCACTGAAACGGCAACCAGTCCTCCATATACGCGCAAACATAGTTGTTCTGCACAAATTGATCAAAGTCACCTAATCCACGCGATCACTGGAAGTCCTCGCCTGTGCTCCAGTATATCCAAACATTATCCCAAGTCATACGCAACCGCCCCCCGATGAATTATTCCCGTCCGCCGGGTGTTGAGAGACTCTCCGATGAGAGAAGCGTTTCTTTCCTCTCCAGACGTCTATTGAGCTGCGTGGGTTATAAATGAAGCGCTGTTTCTGCAGTTCAGCCGCCGGTAAATGGGAGTGGTGAGGAGAAACGCGCCGCAGACACGCCTCGCGCTGCCCACCGACCGACGCGCGGCAGAGGCGCTATCTGGACACGCTGCACAAATCCAAATGTTCTTGAGATGCTTCTTTAGCTTTGTTGCAGGCATGAGACGACTTTCAGAGACGTCAAATGCGAAATGCGTGTGTGTGTGTGTGTGTGTGAGAGAGAGAGAGAGAGA